GCGGTCGCTATATTGCTCATTTTATTTGTGGAAAAATGGATAATATTCCTACTCGACCACATCTTCTAGCAAGCAAACCCCTTGAAAAAGTCAATCATTCAACCATAGCAAGGTTTGTCAATGATTCTATCAGATTATTATGGCCTGATAGAGATGGTTCTGAAGATGTTTTGATTTTTGTCAGTGATGCCGCTCCGTATATGGTCAAATCTGCAGCAGCACTGGAAACTTTTTATCCCAGAATGCTTCATATTACATGTTTGGCTCATGCTGTTCACAGACTGGCTGAGACTGTTCGAGAAGTATTCTCCTCCGTGAATGACTTAATTTCTAGTATCAAGAAAGTTTTTCTCAAGGCACCTGTGCGCATAAAATTGTATAAAGAAATGTATCCTGATTTGCGCTTACCTCCACAGCCTGTGATAACTAGGTGGGGTACATGGATTGAAGCTGCACGTTTTTACGCTAATAATTTTGATGCAATAAAGTCAGTTGTAGATTCAATTGACAGTTCCTGTGCTTCTTCAGTTTATGTCACAAAAGAATTACTACAGGATATCTCTTTGTGGAAGGACTTGGCCATAATTGACACTCGCTTTTCTTTCTTAAGTGGAGCAATAACGAAGCTCGAAACACGAGGTCTTCCCCTGGCTAAGGCCATATCCGAAATTGAAAAAATTCAACAGTGCATCAATGCTCTTCCAGACTGAGTTGGGAAGAAAGTAAAAGAAAAATGGTGTTTCGTTCAAAACAAAAATTCGGGTTTTGCAGCAGTGAAGAAGATAAATGATTTTCTTAATGGAAACGGAACTCAACTTCAAGAGAAAGTAAAACCAATGAGTACGAAACTGTACAAATTTTGTCCCATAACATCGGTTGACGTGGAGAGGTCATTTTCTGCATTCAAAATTATCTTTGATGACCGACGACATCAATTCACCCTTGAAAATTTGGAAAAACGCTTAGTTGTGTATTGCAACAGAAATTATTCAGTTTCATAAATTCTTTCCGGAAAATGCGATGATTTTTCTTCTCTCATTTATCATACTTCAGTTTTAGGCTTTTTCGTCAGAAATGTGTAGATTCAAGTAAGAAATATTTTGATTTTCTTCCTTTTAACAAAAAAATGTTTTAGCTGTGTTTGTTGGAAAAAGTGAGTAGTAGTATTTAAATAAGTTGAGCTTTTAATTTCTATTTTAAATGCATATTTCTAATTTTAGGATCATATATTCAAGTTTTTTAGTACATATTTGCATGCTTATTTTGTCCGTTTTTTAGTGCATATAATCCGCTGTTTAATGATTAGTTTTGAGTTGTATTTTAGCTCAATTTAGTACAGTAGAGCCTCATTATTTCGAACTATTTATTTGAGCCGTTGCCTGTTTGGAGTTTTGATCATTATTTAGATCACCCGAAGTCTCGATCTTCGTTTTGGATATAAAATCTCATGTTTCACATAATTTTTATCGACATACTCTTTTTAAATTGTGTGTCATTCAATCATGTTGCATCACTATGCTCTGGAATTTGGAGATTATATTTTTAAAGTAGACAAGTTAGGAATACAATGGAACATATTTTTCGAAGCTGTGTTATTATGCAAATCGTGTTATTGACAAATCAATTTACGTTTCATAATCCTCATACAGGTAATAAATAAATTTCTAATACACGTGTGTATCACACATTTCCTGATGCTTTATCGTGATTGATATGATTGTGTGATTCAATGCATAGTTCAAATGTTTGAATGAATCAATGCACAAATCTGCGCTGAAGCATCATTCTTTGTGTGACTTTCGAATTATTCACACTAAGTTTTGAAGATATTATGAAAGTTCATCTTATTGTCAGATTTTTCATTTAATAAAAATCCATATTTTGCCTTTTTATTACATTATTGACTAAATTTTTGTAGTAGTACATTGAATATTTCAATAAAAGTACGATACATAATTTTTTAGAATATTAAGATTGTTCGAGATTTCAGATTACCGGGGTTTGAATTTAGTGGATTCGACGGTAATGCCATTATCATTTTACTCATTGGCAAAATGGGTCTTGTTTTGAGTTTGATGGCGTGCCCATCTTATTTGGATGTCATCACATTTTTCAACTGTGTTCAAGAGTAATAGTAAACAGTGCGCAAGAGTCGTCATTGCATGCGTTGCTATATAGACCGCTGCTGTTTGAAATTTTTTTTATAATTCTTCTTTTCACTTTTAATTTTGTTATATATTAAGTTGGTGAGTTTATTTTTGAGATATGGGACTAGAGAGATCCCTTAAATACTTCTTGAGTTATGAATAAAAGAGAATTTCATCATTTGAGCGATATTTTTGCTTTTATTGTTTTTATTAAGAATCAGAAATTCTAACCTACAGTTCAAACTGGATCATTTTCAATAATAATTCAGGTAAATATCACACATAAAGAGAGTCCCAAACTGATTGACCCGGTCGCAAAGGTTAGAGTTGAAGCAAGAAAAAACGATGCCAAGGCCTAAGTTTACCGAGGCTGAGAAAGCTGAAGCCAAAGATCGTACACGGGAATACCTTAAGTGTTATACACAAGCGGAAGAACGAAAGGATTCCGTTCGCAAACGCAAGCATGAAGCCCATTCCTCACAAAAGTACCAAAGTGGTTGAAAGTATTGAAACCTATCGAGGAGTGAATGGTGCCTTTCTGAACCCCTTTCATGCAAATACGAGAACTGGGTGCTGATCACCTGGTTAGGGATAAAAGGATCCATTGTCAACGTACCCAATGACTTGCACAAGATCGTAGACTGTTTCCCACGCAATATAAATTATTCATTCACTATTCATGTAAAATTGAAAAAAAAGTCTAGCTTCCAAATCCCATTTTTCTCAGAAAAAAACCATAAGATTTAGGCAAACCAAATAACTAAACTACTAAGTGTTTGTCTTCATTTCAAAGTAATGTAGGTTACATTGTAGTAGAAAATACTGATGCCAAAATATGGTCTTGTTAAGTACATTTTTAACTCTGTAAACTCTATTATTAATTTAAAAGTAGTACTTTTCTTTTATCAGTGGTGCCATTTAAAACTCCTTGAAACTTTCAAATTACTAAGCTTTCTGACATTCTATTCAGCGTAAAAAATGCAATACTTCATTTGTCTAGCTAGCAACGTCAGATGATTAATTATGCATAAATCAAAGATTGCATTTTTTAACGTGAAACCATTTTAATTTAAGCATGGATGGGTGACTGAATGTAAACAATAAAAAGATTTCTAAGCCGGAGCAAATGTAGAAAGCTTCCATTGCATCCCTCCACTAATGAGGCGATGGGCGAACTGGCTTAATACTCTAGGAAGTTTTATTGTGATTTTTGTTCAAACTTACTCGAAATTTTACCATTCATAAGAGATTTCTGCAATTTTTTAAATTCTAACAGGTCGAGAGCATAAAACAAATTTAAAAAAATTAATATCACAACATTAAATAAAGTGCAAGGTTTGTCAAGTTGTGAGTGTTATCCCTAATTTGGCTATGATCGTGTAAAACATCGCTGATTGTTATTTTTTGTATGCTTGCATATCATAGTATACTTGCAGGGTCTTCCGAATTGATTTGTTATTTGTTTTGTCTAAATTTAAAGAGCGCTTAACATTATGAACACTACAAGTATAATAATATTGTTTGGTGCGCTTTTCCAAGCTTCGGCGTAAAAATCAATCATAAAGTAACCAACCTATCATTTCAAGTCTTGACTCTATCAATTCAGCCTAAAACATGCTATTTTTTTCTATTTCAATATTTAAATTTTCTCCAAATCTACCTCTCTCCAGTCCCACAAGCAATCGACTTTCTTTTACTTGCTGCTAAGAAGAGGATATTTTTAACAGATTGATAATAGTTTGAACTTAAATACTTAGATATCTACTTTTTGACAGTTTTGAAACATATTTACTCGACTATTGCATTCAGGATTTTCATCTTACTGCAATTAAAATTTGCTTAAGCTAATTTTTCTTCCCGAGTTTGTATTAAATAACCTAAAAATAAGAACTAAAAATATTGGCATTCAACTGTATCTGCAGTTTTAAATTATAGACCAATATCACTAAACTCTATTATAGCCAAGATAGTGGAGAGAATGGTTAATGAGAGACTGGTTTTCTACTTAGAACATCATGATCTTTTAACAGATACCCAGAGTGGGTTTCGAATACATCAGTCAACTAATCAACAAATTATAAGACGATCACAAGCAATCAAGGATAGTTTGGATCGAAGCGAGACTTTAGTGGCAGTTTTTGTCGACTTTAAAGCTGCATACGATCGCATTTGGAGGAATAAATTGCTTTATAAGTTAAGAACCCTTGGAATCGGTGACAAAATGTTCCAATGGACTAAAAATAATATTTCTCAAAGATTTTGTGCAGTTCGCTACGGAACGTAAATCTCTGGTTACAAACAAATTCATTGCGGTCTACCGCAGAGAGGTGGGACAAGTACAAGTCTTTTTAATGTCTACAATGACCTCCCAGATATAATCAAAGAAAAAAGGAAGGATATTGAATGTGCTTTATATGCTGATGATTCAGTACTATGGACTTCAGCACCTAGGAGGCATACTGAAAAAATGGTGTCTAGGATCATTCAGGCTTTGAAAGCTTTGTATGAATGGTCTACGGAAAATCAAATGGAGGTGAATGTTGACAAAACTATGTATCAAACTTTTACTCTCAATCATCAACCAACTGAAATGGATATAAAGAATAACAGTAGCAGTGTCCGGGAGACAGAATAAGCTGTTTACATAGGGGTGAAGTTTGATAAAAAGCTCTCTTGGAAGAAACATATATATGATGTTATTGATAGAGCTCGAAAAAGGTTAACAATAGTTAAAAGGCTCGCAGGAGTGCTATGGGGTTGTGGAAGAGAGACTTTAAATAAAACTTATAATTTATACATTAAGCCATTAATAGGATATTGTTGTGAGGCCTTGATTACTATGACAAAACTGCTATGACAAAATCCTCAGCACTCGATTGTGAACTAAAAGCAGCTGCTCTACAGACAATTTATGCCAGGTATCCAAAAAGTAATTGGATTCACATCTATACAGACGGATCGAAAATGCTTGACAACGTTGGTGTTGGTGTGTATTCAGAACTCTTTGCGTTCTATGCCACCCTCGGTCCATTGCGGACCAATTTTGATGGAGAACTGGAGGCAATTAGAATTGCAACAGAACAAATCAGGGTTAGATCAGTTCAGATTGACAGCATAGTTATTTTTTCAGACTCTCTATCAGCCATCCAGGCTATTGCAGCATATAATGTTGCAGAGTCAAATATTATTGACTCCTGCAGAAGAAGTATTATTCTCTTAGCTTCTGAGGGAGGGACTGCTGTTCTGCAGTGGATTCCATCTCATGTAGGAATAAATGGTAGCGAATGGGCTGATACATTAGCAAAGAAGGGAACAGAGATTTCGCAGGCAGGCAATTCCAAAGTACCATTTTCATCAATTAAAGGAATTATAAAAAATATTGTGAAGAAAAGCTATGATGCTAATTTAGTTGAAGAAATCAAGAATAAGAAATGGAGGTATTCAATTAATAAAATTTCAAACTCCCCTAGATCCACTGCAGTGGCGGCGCTCCGTCTGGAGACTGGACATGACTGCCTTGCTAAACATCTATACAGAATTGGTATATTTGGCAGTCCTATGTGCATTTTGCGCAACCAGAACTTTGAGATGGACAAAGATCATTTGCTCAGTTGTTCTTCATTAAATGAAGAAGTTTTATTCAGTCGATATTGGCGCGCTAGGGAGTTGATGCAATTGGTATCCAGCGACTGATTCTCGTTCATGTTTAAATAGTTCACGTTTTGCAAGTATTTATTGTTCTTGTTATTTTATTGTTCTTGTATTGTTCAATGGTTCAGTTTTTGTTTTATATGCTCCAATCTCATGCATCTTCAATGCATGGGGGACAATGATGTAAAGTCAAGTGCTTTTGCAATGAAAAAAAAGTTTTAAATTTTCTGAAAAAATCTATAAAAGTATTTCCTTATATTGAGCTTCATGCCGCTGATTTCTGCTTAAAACTGTCTACAAACAGTGTTTTGCGATATGTGAATAGAAACACATGTGACAATGCACATGAAAAGACAAAATATTTTACAACAAATAATGCAACAATGTATTTGGGGAATATAAAAAAAAATTATTCATAGTCCTGACTGCCTTTCACAGAACTGTACTTTCAAGGATGCTACATTTTCTAAGCTTTTATTCCGATATTTTGTTTCATTTTGGACATAGTGTCTGCACAAATCAAGTTTGACATCCAAAGCTAAGAGAAATCTGAGATGAAATGCAAGGGTTGCTTTGCATTTGAATAAAATTAGGCTTCAATACAAATTGTAGTTTAAAATATATTCAGTTATTTTAACGTATATGAAATATATGTATTTTTCAAAATATTTTTAAAAATATGTAACGTGAGAAAACAAAAGCCTGCAGTAGACTATTTAACAATTTTTTTTTAATTACAATATGAAATATAAAAATGTATTTTCTTTTTATTTGTTACTATTTTGTTAAGATAAATCGTACACGAGGTACCCCAGGATTATTAGGATGAACTTTAAGGGGAAGTAGGATACAAAACAAGGATACAGGATTGCATAGCAAACCATGGTGAGAAACGACTTCGTAAGCCGTTAGGTGTTGTTGTTTACAAAATGGATTGGACGTGGTGAACCATTTCCCTGCCCACCGTGCTCACCTGACTAAAGTAGCATGGATTTCTTTTCTTAGAGAGCCCCGAAAAGTGCTGTGCATGCAATACCCGTGGATTGCAAAATGGATCTGGTTGAAAGAATCGCGTGTGCTGATGAGGATGTTTAACAAAATTTAGGTGCATTTGGAGGAGTTGCCAATCCCTGGTTTGACGATTTAACGCATGCATATCAGCAATGGTGGAAGCTTAGATTTCCTTTTGAGACACTTATTGTCTATCCCAGTACATCTGATATCTTTGACAAATAAATATTCCAGATGATCTCAGTCTTGTGTCTCTTTGTTTCTTGTACCTGTCGTACTTCTTTCCCATGACGTTTCCGACCATAGTTTGTTAATCAATTCTAAATCCTTGTGAAGCCCCCTACCTCCCCTTAAAGTTTGCCCTAATAAACCTGGGACACCCAAAACCCAATCATCCAATGACTCAAAAAACAAATTGATTTAAAGCAATGAAACAAATGATTTTTTTTACCTAAAAATTAAGTTTAAAAAGTACTTAAATCTGAAAGGAAGCAAATTTTATAAGCATCTGTCAAATTCGTTTCGAGATCGATTCAAGCACTCGTAGAAGAAATATAGTTTTAATATAGTTTATACGATATTTTATAACGGTCGTTGAACAGCCGACACAATTTTCAGGGTTTACGACTACTAATGTTCAACTGCGTAGTCTAGTAATTTTGAGCCCAACCCAGAAGACAAGGGAACTACTGGATCAAGTATTGGGAGAAGTTTGCCTTCGTGGAGGACTTTTTGATGGAACTAACCAGCATTTGCGTTACATGGAGAGGAAGACCACGAGAACCTCCCACGGTTAGCCTGACAGCAAAGGGACTCTGACCAATGATCCATCTACCACTGAGGATATTTCATGTCAGCCCTGTGGTCGGTGCAAACTGGGTGCGGAATTCGTATCGATCAGCCCTTGCCGGGATCAAACCCCAGTTCACCTGATTGGAAGGTGAACGCTCTATCCCCTGAGCCATTGTGACTCCGATTTAATATATTGTCTTGTTTAAAGATATTAACACTTATTTTCTGTTTCATATCATCGAAAATATTTGGTCAAATTTTGACAAAAAGAAACGCACGTATATTTTACATGTTGACGTTAAAAAAATATCATTGATTTGGTAATTTGGTTTGGTTTCTTGACATTTATTTCATTGAATAAAAATATGTGTAAGGTTGACTTTTGGTGCTCCTCTCATACAATTCAAAGAAATTAAAAATTTGTAAAAATTACAACTCACGTCATGAATTTTACTAATTCACTCGACTGCGCTTAAAAATCTTTCACTTTACGTACCCCCCCCCCCGGATGCCCCGATGGTGAACTGGGCTTCGATCTCGGCGATGGCTGGTTGATCACTTTACGTACGTATCTGAAACGTCTCAAATATTTCAAAAATATTTCATACGAATGCTCTGACATGAAAACTACTTTGCTACCATCCAGTTTTTGTAAGTAAAATCTTACCTCTAGAGAGTAAAAAAAATCGTCTAAATTGAAAGTATTCCATTTTTTTTTAATAATTCAGTAAGCATTAAATATGGTGAGTTTAAAATTTTGAGTTTTTGTTTTATCTGTCTCGTGTTCTTTTTAACTTTTACCAATCCATTCCTTTTCAGTATTCTATATAATTTCTTTTCAGGTAATTTATTTATTTAAGTTAATTTCATCAACCTTTTTTTTGGAACCATTACACTTTTTGGCCATTTGTTTTAATAAGATGTTACTGATCCGTTTACAGGATATTGTAATTCTAGTATTTATAAAATAATGATTTTTCTAAATTGATCCTTTAGTTAGTTTTCTACCATCTTAAAAATTTTTCCTTAAGCTATTAAGCCAACACGCTCTATTAAAATGTCAACAACTTTCCGAGAACGTCGGACGTCGAAAAGTGTACATGGAAACTTTAGCTGTGAAATGCAAAGACGTTGATAAAACAATTGTCGTAAGTGCAAATTTTTTTATTTATATATTAATAAACAATTATATCATGCTAGCGTTAAAAAATTTTGAAAATTAATAACAAATAAATGGAAAATGAAAAAAAATGCACTGTGGGGCTACTTTGTGCAAAGTTTCATTCCGTTTTTGTTTCGACAGAAAAATGGTCAGACGTTATAAAAAAAAAATACCTGGAACGAGAAATCACCGTGATTACACTTTAGAAAAGCTGCAACAATGTTTGCAAGCAGTTGCTGGTCGTATGTCGATTGCAGAAGCTTCTCGGAAGCACAAAATCCACAGAAATACTATCTCTAATTAAATTCACAAGAAACGTGCTGGTAAACTATTATTTTTCTTCTACAAAGATTTTTCAATGAATTAATCAAGCGATCTATCACATAAAAATATATTTTATAGGACATCGGGTGATTTTGACAGAAACTGAAGAGCAAATTCTGTCATGTTCATTCAAGCATGTTATGTTTAAATTTATCAATATTATAAGTGTTAATGAATATGTAATAAATATTATTTTAGAAATTTCATCTATTTCAATGTTCAAAAATGTATATGGTTTCCTTTTGTTTAAACTCAAATGTTTTGAAATAAACAATCGTTTTAAGAAAAAATTCTTTATAAAAAATGTTTTTTTAACACTGAAAATTATTCTCAAACTAATATCTTTACATATCTTGATGTTTCTGTTATTAAAAATGTCATCAATTAACTTTTTTAACAATTTTATATCAATATTTTACTAAAAACATGATTATTAAACTGAATTCCTATCGCTGCACAAAGTAGCCCCACTTGGGGGCTTCTTTGTGCAAGGTATGTTTTGACTTATTATTTGTAAATATTACATGCAAATAATGCCAATATGGATCAAATTCACTCGTCTGAGTCCAGTTATGAATATACTATCGATAAATTTTACTAAAGTTTGAATTAACATAGTTTTTTTACATGTCAAAGTTCAACAACTGCGAAGTCCTGCACAAAGTAGCCCCACATGACGGTACATGGTTTTGATATAAACTTAATAATTTTAATTAAAATTGAACTTAAACACATATTTAATCTCGTCCATTTCTTTGTAGTTGGACTATTTTTCTTTTGGAAAAAATGCTTTTGAATGTAAAAGTTATTTTTTAAAAATTCAATAGTTGTTTTTCGTATTCTGATCAAATTTTTTATATTTTATACCCGTACGAATTTCAGATGCAATAATTGAAGGGAAATGCATAAAACATGACAAAAACAACAACAGAATACGAGGGTTGCTATTTATATTTCTGGCCTTGGCAACAATAAGTGTTGCTAGGCAACCGCAGACGATTTTAATCGAAAGTTTGATATTTTTAAACATAAATTCAATAGACGATTTACCATTATAGCTTCATTTGTGTTGTTGACAGTAAATTGAAAAGTTCTTCTCTTTCAAAAAATGGAATTGAATCGTGAACATTTTCGTGCCATTATTTTTCATAACTTTCGACGTGGATTGTCAAGACAAGAGTGCTTCGATGAACTTAATTCTTTATTCAGCGATAAAGCGCCATCCTACAGCACTGTAAAAAATTGGTATAACGAATTTAATCGTGGTCGATGTTCGATCCAGGACGAATCCCGTGCAGGTCGTCCAAAATCCGTTGTTGTGCCAGAAAAGATCGATGCTGTGCGTGAACTGATAAAGCAAGATCGTCATGTGACATACCGTGAGATAGAGGCGTCTTTGGACATTAGTATGACTAGCATCAATAAAATATTGCATGAACATTTGAGCGTAAAAAAAATTTGTTCGCGTTGGATCCCGCATAATCTGACAAGCGCTCAAAAAAAGGCTCATGTCGATTGGTGCAAGGAAATGTTGGAAAAATACGTTCAAGGTACATCAAAGGCTGTATGCAACATCTACACTGGTGACGAATCATGGATTTATGTATATGAGCCGGAAACAAAACAGCAATCAACTGTATGGGTCTTCCAAGACGAGGCAAAATCAACAAAAGTTGTTCGAGGAAGAAGCACATCGAAACAAATGATTGCCTGTTTCTTCGGCATTAACGGTCATGTGGCAAGAGTGGCGTTA